CCACCTGACCTACACATTTTTGGACTGTGGGAAGAGCATTCAACAGAAACCCATGCGGACACAGGGAAAATGTGTAAACTTCCACACAGACAGTCACCTGAGGGTGGAATTGAACCTGGACCTCTGGCGCTGTGAGGCAGCAGTGCTAACCACTGAGCCACTGTGCACCTAATGTAATAAAGGCTTGAGAGAGAATGAAAAAGTAGCCCCTGATAACCAAAATGTGGCTCTCACAAAATCAAAAAGAGGAAAGAAAAAAATTGGCTCTGCTGTGCTCACTCAGAAATTGAGTTTCAGGTCCTTGTCAGCTCCTTCTCCAAAGGATAAGAAAAGCAGGATCTTTAAATAAACATCCAGAAAACAATGGTTCTCTTCCAAGCAGTTCCCTCAGAACACGATATCACCCTGTTAAGATCAACAGCGCAACTCAGAAAAACATCAACAGTTTTCCATGTTTTTGAAGTTTCCTCTTCATGAAGGTAGACATGAACAATAAAAGTTTATTGTCTCCTCCAAAGTGTCAGTTCAGCATTGGGCCAATTGAGGGCAAGAGTATCTGAGGAGCAGGATCTCAAATCCAAGACTGAGGTCATAGTTTACTCATGACCATTATCCCTGTGTTCCTTTCTAAGGCCATAAAGTTGTACAGCATGGAAACAGACCCTTTGGTCCAACTCGTCCATGCCAACCAGATATCCTAAATTAATCTAGTCCCATTTGGCAGCATTTGGCCCATATTCCCTCTAAACCATTCCTATTCATGTACCCATACAGATGCTTTTTAAATGTTGTAATTGTACCCTCCTGCACCACCTCCTCTGCAGCTCATTCCATACACACATCACCCTCTTAAACCTATGCCCTCTAATTTTGGGTTCCCTACCATGGGAAAAGGACCTTGTCTGTTTACCCTATCCATGCCCCTCATGATTTTATAAACCACTATAAATTCACCCCTCAGCCTCCGACACTCCAGGGAAAATAGTACCAGCCTAGTCAGCCTCTCCCTATAGCTCAAACCCTCCAGCTCCAGCAACATCCTTGTAAATCTTTGATGAACCCTTTCAAGTTTAACAACATCTTTCCTTTAACAGTGAGACCAGATGTTTTGCAGATTTGAACAACTCACATTAGGTACATCAAGAGACTGGAGAAGTATCACCATTGATGCCTTTGCAAGATTTTTGCAAGAAATTCAGCAGCAAGAAAGGTAATCCAACAGTAGGATCCCCTCCAATATCAATTTGCCCAGTATCAAGGCTTTAATTGCTCAAAGTCAAGTCTCCTGCATTCATATACCCGACTCCAGATTTCTGAAGCAACTACTCTACCTGGAACCCAGTCTCAGCAGGAGACTATGAGGAAGATAGTGGAAATTCCTCAGAGATGTCCTCAAAGCACCCTTGAAAGTGTCAGACATACCTAATGAATGACTCGCGTGAATCCCTGCTTGTGATGACCAACTGGAGAAGGCAAACGCGAGCAGGCACCAAACACATCAAGAGACTTGGTCAGGAAAACAGAGACGCAAAGTTGAGGGATGGAGAGTGTGAACAAACGTCCAAACAACCCAGCAACCCAGCCCTCCAGCACTTTGCAGAATCTACAGATTACACACCAGAGTTATTGGGATGTTATGTTGAGGTTGTACAGGTAAGGCCTCTTCTAGAATACTGTGTCTAGTTCTGGTCTCCCTGTTGTAGGAAGGATTAAGCTAGACAGGGTGCTGAAGAGATTTACCAGGATGTTGCTGGGAATGGGGTTGGGGTGGTGGTGGGGTTTGGATTTTAAGGAGAGGCTGGATAGGCTGGGACTTGTTTCACTGGCGCACAGGAGGTTGAGAGGTGACCTTATAGAGGTTTATAAAATCATGAGGGGTATTGATAAGGTGAATGGCAGGTGTCTTTTCCCTAGGCTGGGGGATTTCAAGTCTAGGGGGCATGTTTATAAGGTGAGAGGAGAAAGATTTAAAAAAGACACGAGAGGCTTTTTTTTTACACAGAGGATGGTTCATGTGTGGAATGACCTTCCAGAGGAAGTGGTGGATGCAGGTACATTTACAATGTTTAAAAGATATTAAGAGAAGTATATGAATAGGACATGTTTGGAGGGATATGGGCCAAGCGCAGGCATGTGGGACTAGTTTAGTTTGGGATTATGGTGGGCATGGACTGGTTGGACTAAAGGGTCTGTTTCTGTGCTGTATGACTCCATGACTTTTATACCAGTCATCTTTGAACCCAAATAACTATTCGACCAACTATCCACTGTTTGGAACAATTAAGGTTTTCATGATGGAATGTCTCATCCATCTGATTTCAAAGAGGCACTTACAGATGGCAAGGTTTGATAAGACGTATCTCACACAACAATTCCACTCATGAGTCACTTAATTAGTCATTTGAAGGAACTGAATTTAGGCTTCCAATTAATTAAATTGGTCTGAATTCAGTAACTAATCAAATTCTTGCCACAAAAATTAGTAACATTTCTCAAGACTTCAGTGAATGCCCTACGCAACAGTTTGCAGCAATTATCGCCCCCACACTAAGGGGAGGAAAAAAATTCCACACATATGTGTTGAAGGTTGTGCAGAATAAATAACGGCAAAAGACACAGTGCATCTCACAAATCAGTGAGAACCAATTAGATATGGATTGGAAAATTCCAGACAAACATGAACAGAAACAGCATCAGATATGATCAATGTGATGTACTTATCTGTAAGTTATAGTCAGGAAATATACCAATCAAAAGGTCAGAGGAGGGGATACAGGGTCACCATGGGACAATGGGAAGAGGGCATGGGGAAGGATGAAATTGCAGTAGGGACACTGGCAGGGATCAGGAGGGCACAAGGGAAGTTTTCAAAGCGATATGGAAGGTTGGTAGGAGGAGGTAGAATGGCTATTTGAGAAGATGGGATGGGCAACCAGATTAATAGAAAAGGACAGGGAAACAGGCTGGAATAAGGGCCAACATACAAATTAGGACCAGGGCTAGGACCCCTTGACTCCTTGAACGTGCTGTACCATCTGAAAAGAGCATGGTTGACCAAGCTTACATTTCAGACTCTGCACTGACATCTGGGTTAGTCAGGGGTCTATCGAGCAGCCTTGAAAATATTCAATAAGCCAACCTTCATTTTCTCTGGGAAAGAGAGTTTGACAGATTCACAACCTCCTGAGAAAGAAAAAAAATCATCTCCATCTCAAAATGGGGTCTCCATGATTTTGAACTGTGCTCTTTGTTCTAATTTCTCCCCCAAGGGGTAATATCTTTTCAGTATCTACCCTGTGAAGTCCACCTCAGCATCATATATGTTTCAATAAGATCACCTTTCATTCTGTGAAACTCCAATGAATACAGGCCCAACCTGTTCCAACATTTAGCCAATGCCCAGAAATAATACTGAAGGAAATCAGGAGCGGGACAACACTCTGGTTTGCCACAATGTTAAAATAAGAGAGGAGCTGCCTGTGGAAAATTAACCACTGTGCATATCTTCAAGAAAATTGTTAGCATTCCAGTTGTCATCTCCCTATCCCTAGTATGGGCACTAACCTGGGCAATAACACCTCCAGCTGCTTCACTGCCCAGCTAGCTCCATACTAATACAGCACATGATGTGGCAAGGAGGTAGAGCAGATTGTAAAATAAGAGATAAAGGAGCAAGGAGATATACCAGGTATTTGGTATAGGTGTTGAAGACAGTAGAATGGGGGATTAAGGGAAGAAGAGGTGTTCAGGTTTGGGTTGACAAGTGAAATGTAACATTAGTACCACACAAATGCCAGGCAATGATCAACTGCAGCAACAAAGATTCTAATGACCATTCCTTGTTATTCATTGCCATTATCATCACTGAATCCCCTACTATCAACATCCAGGAGGCCACCACTGACCAGAAACTCAACTGGATCAGTCATATAAATATACAAGAGCAGGTCAGAGGCTAAGAATGCTGCATGGAGTAACTCACCTTCTGATTTCCCAAAGCCTGTCCACCATCTACAAGGCACAGTTCGGACTGTGATGGTATACTCCCCACTTGCCTGGATGGGTGCAGCTCCAACAACACTCAAGAAGCTTAACACCATCCAGGACAAAACAGCCCGCTTGATTGGCACTACATCCACAAGCATCCACTCCATCCACCACCGATGCTCAGTAACAGCATTGTCTACTGTCTACAAGTTGCACAGCAGAAATTCACCAAAGATCCTCAGGCAGCACCTTCCAAACCCATGACCTCTGCCATCTAGAAGGACAACAGAAGCAGATACATGGGAACACACCACCTCCAAGTTCCCCTCCAAGCCACTCACCATCCCGCTTTGGAAATATATCACTGTTCCTTCACTGTCACTGGGTCAAAATCCTGGACTTCCCTCCCTAAGGGCATTGTGGTCTACCTACAGCACATGGACTGCAGCGGTTCAAGAAGGCAGCTCACCCCCACCTTCTCAAGGAGCAACTAGGGACGGGCAATAAATGCTGGCCCTTGAATGAATTAAACTAGATAGCAGTTGGGCCAGAAAAAAAGGATGGGGAAGGTAACATGGGAGGTAAAGGAGTGAGGAGGTAAAGCAGGTGGGTAGGGAAATAGGAACGGAATAGAGAGGCAGCTCAGAAGGGAGGCCTCAGGACCATGGGCAGCTGATTGAGAAGGGAAGGGGTTCAAGGGATTTATCAAGGCGCAGGGAGCAAGAGAACAATACTGTTATACAATGGAATAGTTTGATTTGTTATTATTTATATCACAGCAAATCTCAATCCACCACTGCGTGTGCTGCCGATTGAGAGATAGTGTGCGGGAGGCTGCCCATCCTACCCCGGCCAACAACCTCAGTGTGTCCCAGTGAACACAGCCCCAAAGTTCCTCCACCCGGGGAGCTCCACCCGGGTGTCACAGGAGGTCAGCGCAGGGCTTAACTTTTGAGCGGAGTCAGCAAACAGCCGAAAAGGCACAAGACTAAGAAGGCCCAGCAGGAAACAGGAAAGATGGTCAGAACTGCTGTTCGGCGCAGCTCTTGGGTGGGGATGGTGCGAGCCACATTGTGAGATAAAGATACACGAACCCCATGCAATTCAGAGAGTGTCCTGTAGGATACGATATGTCCCCTCCCTCTGACTTGCACTCAGGGGGTGGGAGGAGTGCTTGACGTGACCGTGCCTGCAGTCAGGAGAAACAGACATTTTTTTCCTCTCTCTCTCTCTCTTCCCCCTCCTTCCCTCAAATGCAGTTCGCTCCTCTGCTTCAGATTTGAGCCGCAGCTTGGAAGATTTGGGAGGCTGAAGCAGGATGAGAGATTGCAGGGGAGCCGGACACAAGGCGAGCCAGTGAGGAAGTGCTCCCAGTTCAGGCTGCCTATCCCACCACAATCTCTCCCCCTCCCCAGCTCCCCACCTCCCCAGCCTTTCCTCTCACTCCCCCAACAGCACACCACAGGCTCGGAGTCGCTGCCTGCATTTTCTGAGCTGGAACCTTCGCCTTTACAACTACATCCTCTCTCTCTCTCTCCTATATATAGGACAGCTTTTCAAAGGGAACCTCTCACAATGGAACTGAGTAAATAAGCTGAGCGATTGAGGAAAAGGAGCAGCGTTTGTGTCTATCTCTGCTCTCTATTCCCCCCCCCCCAAAAAAAAACAGGCCAGTAGGGGGAGAAAGAGGAGGTGGGTTTTATTTTATTTTCAAGCGATTTCACAGCGTGAACCTGACACAGTGTGTGACTTGGAGAGATTCCCAGATCTCTCTCTCTCTCTCTCACTCACACACACACACAGCTCCTGAAGCTGTAACCGAGTGAGTGAGGGGAAAAGAGTTTAACAGCCCTCGGGACTGACGAGAGGAGCTAGTGCTGCGAACTGGAGCCGGCAGACAGGATGTCATCTCAAGCAAAATTCAAAAAGGACAAAGAGATCACCACGGAATACGAGACCCAGGTCAAAGGTAGGTTCCTGAGTGTATGCGTGTGTGGTTTTTCTGTTTCGTTCTACGCCGTGTAATGTTTTGGGACCCTTCCCCGACCCGGTGTATTAATCTGGGTTATTACACAAACCCACATGGAAATAGGTGATCTCCAGGTTAAATGGGATTCTGAAGCTGCTGGGACAGTTGGGGTTATATATTTTTTTGTTATGTAAAAGGGGAGGGGGAGGGGGGAGGAAAGGGGAGGGGAGGGTACAGTTTCAGAACTGCATTGCAGTGTGGTGGAAAGCTGGAAGCAGTAGCTAAGCAAGCCTCGGTTAGGTAGCAGATTGTGCTGACGATCACACCCGCGTTCCTTACTCAGAGCCAGGACGCGCTAATAGTGCTCTCTGCTTTCTCTCTCCACCCCCACCCTGCTTTCTCTGTTTCCCGTGGGTTGCAGCCCCCCCCTTATTTTATTATTAATAAAGTAGCTCTTTCAACCAAAGGGGTCTCTCTTGCTTCCCAACATCACTGTGAGATCCGCGCCCCCACTTTATAAATCAAACTGCATATTAAACATAATAGGTTGCGTTATTAAGGGCTGAGGGTGGTGGTGGGGAGAAGGATAAAAGCCTCTCCCTCCACCCCAGCTGTAATCAGGGTTCCCCCCCGGTACAGGGAGACTGACAGAGACTCCCAAGTCCAAGCATTGATCGAATTCTCTGGGTCTCTTTCACGCTTTGCGGTTGGCTCTGGGTTCAATATCGCTGGAGATTTCACATGGTTTATTTCCTTTCATCTCCCCACCTTTCTGTTTTACTCGGTGTGTTGGGGGTTGGGGAGGTAGAGAAGGGGAAATAATTATGTCCCTGGATTAATATAGCCCGTATGGACCACTAACCCCTTGTTTCTGCCTCAATCAGCCCTATTGTGCTTGTCCCCTTTTTAAATAAAAATACTGGTAAAATGATGTATTGAAGTAGGTTTAAGGTGCGTATCACTATCTACTTAATCCCCTCCAAACAGTGGTGTATTTTAAACTCCATTAACAGGGATTTAACTGCCAGCTCTGAGGTCTCAAAGTAACTTGAATGGCTTCTGTCTCCTGATCTCTGCAGTGAAGGTTTTAACCCAGCAGATGTAATGCTGTCTGTGCGTTTGTGCTCGGAATAAGGTGAATGTTGCTGCTGGGGGAAGCTGGTTTGGTGGGGGTCATGGCGGGGGGAGGTGAGATGTGACAGGAGCTGGTGTTTACAATGCCAGTTAGTATGGAAGAGAGAACAGGACCCTGAGAGGAAAAGGAGGGGTTGCTGTCTCTCTTCTCTCTCATTCTTCACCCCACCAGCCCCTCTCCTGCTGCTGGAGCTCACTGACTTTCCAGGGATGGAGAGGCTGGGCCAATGTCAGACACAGCACTAAGTGTTGGCTGGAACAGCCTACAATGACTGGGGCTGCTGTTAGTTTTCTGACCCACACTCTGTGCAGTTTTGGTCCTGGCAGAGACTTGTCCAGGTGGATTGTTGTTGAAAGTTCTGGAACTTTTTGGGTTGTGAGTGGCTTGTGGTGACATTGCGTCATTCTGGTTCTGCATTTCCTCTGGGTTAATGTGCTTGTTTCTTTTTTTTAAAAAAAATCTTGTTTGTTATCTACCCCTCTCCCCACTGAGGCTAGATGGGGTTCTGCCATTGCCACCTGAACCATCCAAGTCAGCTGCCTTCACATGGGGACCTTGGTTGTTGCTGCCAGGGCTGATGGGGACCACGCTCGAGCCCCAATCCTGCCCATTGGCCCGAAAAGTCAGCTTTCCTGCTCCTCTGATGCTGCTTGGCCTGCTGTGTTCATCCAGCTCTGCACCTTGTTATCTCGCACCTGAGACTCTTGTTTTAATTCTACCTGTTTTTCTAATCAACCTATTGCACACCTCTGGAGCAGTTGGGACTTGAACCTGGGCCTCCTGGCCCAGGGATAGTGACACTACCTCGGTGCCATAAGAGGGCCCTGAGTCTGCTTTTTTTTTTTTTAAACGAATTTTTCCAATCAACCTGTTTTGGAGATGTTATTGCACACCTCTGGAGCAGGTGGGGGCTTGAACCTGGCCTCCCATTCCAAGGTCGGGACACTACCACTGGGCCACAAGAGGGTCCTTGTTTTCTGTCTTTTCAGCAAAAGGCTCTGACTATTGAACAGGCAACACTGAGGCAAGTCTTACCAACCTCATTCACCCTCCTGATGCAATTGGTTAACTCTCAGTGAAGGACAGAACCTCTGCCGGCCAGAGTCATAGGGTACGGTTATCTATCATCACAGTCCAAGAAGTATATCTTTCCTCTTGTAACCCAATTTAGTAACACCACTGGAACAGAACGATTGGTTTTTATATATTCAATGATTGAGGTACCTTTATATTGGTGTCATTTGACCCATCATTATGACCACTTAGTTCAACCTCTGTTACACTGCCTGACTCCACCCCACCTCAGTTCATTTGTTACTAAAGTCCTCATCCCTGCCTTTTTTTGTAATTTGACTATATTTAGCCCACTGCTCACATCCTGCACTCTTTTAAACTCGAGCCCACCCAAATCGGTGCTCATTTTGTAACTTGTGTCAAATCCTGTTTACCCATGGATACCCCTATGCTAACTGATCTATGTTGGTTCCTGGTTTACTAGATACCTCAATTTTTACAAAAGATGCTCAAACTTATTATTAAAATTCTTCATGGCTTCACCCTCTTATCCCTGTAATCTTCTCCAGCTCGTCCAATGTATCTGCACACCTTTAATTCGAGCCTTCTTGATCTTCCCTAATTTTAGTGACTCAGCCCATTCTTTCCTTCAGATTCCTGGGCCCTAAGCTCCAGACTTACCACAGTAAACATCTCCACTTCTCTGTCTATTTCCTCCTTTTAAAATCCATCTTTTTGATCAAGCTTTTGGCAATCTTCCCTAACTTCTCCTTATGTGTCTCAGTGTCATATTTTGTTTTATAATGTTCCTGTGAAGTGCTCTGGGGCACTTTCTTTACACATACTAGAAATGCTTTAATATAAAGAAATTTTTTGTTGGAAGGATCCAAAAATATAAATACATAAGATAGCAAAAAAGGAGGTAATTGACAAACTTAGAGGATAAAATCCCAAGATTCAGTGGATGCTATCTATTTATTAAGTTAAATGAGAGATAGTAGAGATGCATTTATACAAAATATAAAATTTCACTTAAAAATTCAGCATAGCCACATAATAACACTAAGGAACTGTAGCTCAGTAAAATTAATATCAATGGTAGGAAGGATAATGGAATCTTCATTCTGTCATTCTCTTTGATTCCTGGATGGCTTTCTATCAAATCATTGAGTAATTGGCACAGATTTAAAAAGAGCTTCCAGTGCTTGAGAAATCTTTTATCTTTTCTGTTTACTGCTTGAAAGAATTCAGTAAGAGTAGATTCGGGTAATATTGTAGATGTAATATATTTGGATTTCCAAGTTCCCTTGTATAAGCTAGTGAATAGTAGAGAAATTACTCTGAGCATACAGAGTCAGGATGAGTAGCATACGCAAAAAGGAGTTCAGAGGTTAAGGAAGGTTATTGAGATTGGCAAAAGATGAGAGCTGGTATTCCAAAGATTGATGATGGGAATTGTAGTTGAATGACGGCAATCATACAGTTTCAAAAACAAATTCATTGGCATTCACTTCAAAAGAAATAATCTCTGCTTTTCAATTTTATGTTGCACTTGTCCAGAATGTTGGTTAGACCGCAGTCTGATCTTTACAGTATGAAGGATAGAAGGCATTGGAAAATGCAGATAAATATAGAAAGATGGTACCAGGACTGAGATCAAGAATGATTGACCAGACTTGGGCTCTCTCCTCTGCAGAAGAGAAGACTAGTGCATTTCGCGATTGCAAAAGAGTCTGAGAGGATAGACACAGAGGACGTTTCCACTCATGGAAATCAACACAAGAGATGTAAATGTAAGATAGTCACTGATTAAAACCAATGGAGAATTCAGTTGCTAGAACACGGGGCTCCTATACCATAAGGAGTAGTTGGAAATGAATGATGTGGATGTAATAGGGGAGAAGTTGGATAAACATGAAAGAGAAACCAGGATACGGTGATGAATGAGTGAAGGCTTGCATTTTTCAGAAACACTGGTATGGACTATTTGGGCTGAATGGCCTTTTTCTATTGTACATTCTATTTCGTTCTATGCGCGCACCGATAAACAGTGTATTTAATGAATAAGGTTACATGTAGGGCAGGACTCTCCAAGTTAAGAATTCACATTGCTAAATTATCTCAATTTTTCTTAATAGTTTGTCAGCTAAGTTAGGCTTTTTTTGTAAATGAACTGATTCAAGCTAAACAGCTCACGAGCTGTGAATAAGGCCAGACTACAATGAGAAAGCAAGCCACGTTGTTGGGTCTAGTAAGTAATCACAAATGGAGACACCCTGTTTCAACAGTAGCAGATGCTCTTTGTGTTAGCATTTGACATTGCTGGTGCTCAGTTTTACTATCATGCTTTTATTCTGAATTTTGGCTGTTTTCATGGCTATAAGGTAACCGTGCCGTGGGAATAACTATGATGCCCCATCACTAATTCTATACCTCAGTTGGAGCAGTTCACTTGGAAACGGCAAAGCTGAACTGCAATGGCAAAAATAAAACCTAAATAGGCTGAAGAATCAATCTTGCTCCTCAAATCAGTTTGATGTGTAATTTAGTCAGTTTATATCAATAAACAGTTTAATCTCCCAGTGAAAGTTTAAGATACATTACTCTAGTGTTTAAAATTAGGCAAGAGTAACAAGACTAGATTTGTGATAGGCAAAAAATTTGATTTCATAGTTTAGCCTGAAATACAGTATGGCTTTTTCTGACAGAATTTAGAAAGTATTTGATAGTATTCCATAGTATTTCCAGTGCATGTTATACCATTAAAGGTTTGTGGTTTGCTGTGATGCCTGCTATCCTGGATGTTATTTATGAAGGGCTCTGGTGCAACAGTACCTGTGGAATCTTACTG